TCGCACGAACGTCAATCGTCAAACAAGCCCGAGAAATAAAAAACACAAATATTGAAAGAGCAAGCAAAAAAAGATACAGTGAATACGTGTGCAATTAATTAAAACGTTTTACTTTATTTTTATTTTGGTTAAAATTTTGCTGAAATATCGCGTATGAATTGCGTGAGTTTAAAAGTGTTCGAGTTATTTTTTTTTCTTATCAATCGTTGATGATCGGAGAGAACGTGGTTGAGTGTGAAAAATGACGCTTATATAATAAAATAATTTTGTAAAATCTAATTCGAGGGGCAGTTCATTTGCAAGTGTCGGTGCAATATATCTCTTTTTTTCGTTGAGTTAGTATTAAAAAAAAACTCATGCCATTGAAAACACTTTCACGCATGATTTCGCTTAAACTTTGATGAAAAAAAAAATTTGGTCTGCAATAAAAGAAAAACACAAAATTCCCCCGACGTGGTTTTCTGACCGTTTTGCGATTTGCGTGGCGCAGCAAATAAAAAAAAACTCTAGACATAAAATCTCGTGTTTGATATTCAAAGGGAATAAAACAATATACAAAGTTTTACAGTGGAAAACCGAAAAAAAATAGCCCCAAAGTTGTGCGCACACAATCGCAAATACCGTAAGAGCATGCGAATATTCACAGAAGCCATAGTTAAACAAGTTGCAAATTCATAACCACAAGCAAAACTTGAAAAAACAAAAAGGTTATCACAAATTAATTCCGAAAGCAACGCAGTGCATAATCGCAATATTTGCCCGTTTATAATAGTAGCTATCCGTTTTATATTAGCTGCGTCACAAGCACATTCATTTGATTTAATAAGTTGTATTATTGGAAGCACGTTCACAAAAAGACTAGTGCAATTTAACCACTGACCATTGGCATAAAAAAATAGCAAATTGAAGAAAAGAAGAAGTAATATATTGAACTTGTCAAAAGGAAGTAAAAAAATCTGTGGATCTTTTTAACGTCATTACACAAACGTGCACCCAAACGTAGCTTCTATTTCAGCTTGATTTCTCCGCATTTTATTTAACTCGTGCTCTTCAGCTATATAAATTCCGAACAAATATTTTCGCATCAAAGATTGATTCTCTATTGTTATTTTTTTTGTGAAATCTATTCGTGCATTTGGATTTGGGTTTAATACATTTCGAAATAAAAATAAAAATATCGCCACTTATGAAATACAAAATCTTAGAGCGAATAGTACACCATTTGATTTAATATATCAAGTGAGAGTGAAACGTGTGAAATACACAAAGTGTAATAGTGTTTCTATTTTGTTGTTGTACAGCATAAACGGGAGACTGGTTCAGTGCGTGTATTTTTCGCTACAACAGACTGTGCGAGCCCATATATAGAGAAAAAAAATTGTTCAACGGTTGCGATTGTGTATGTGCACGAGAGAGAAGAGAGAAAAAAAATGAACGAATTAATCCCACGAAGAAATAGAGCCAATGTATGAGCAGCGTGAAAGCAGTTTCTTAAAAATTAATTGAGTGGAAAACTTGAAATAATCAACAAAAATAAATCGATTTAATAATTTGAGAAATAACAAATTACGACAAAACTACTAAGCACTGAACCATCGAGCCATTCAACCGACCACTACTCCATGATCATAGCTCCAACGCAACTCGATTGATCAGTTTCCCGAAACCAATTCAACTAATACACGTTTATATTGGAAATATTTTTGAATTTCACAGCTGGACTATATCAGAGAATCATCACAAAATGGGAAGCGATTCACAGGATATTCAACAGCATATTGGGTGTGGCAACGACATTAATTTACCACAATTTACATTGAATATAAATACAACGACCGGTGGCAGTTTTTCTGTGAGCGTCGATAGCCACACATCGGTTGAAAATCTAAAGAAAATCGTGGCAAAAAAATTGAAAGTGGCCAAAGATCGAATATGCTTACTTCATCGAGAAAAGTAAGTGTCTCATTCCACACTTCCTCAGTTGAATAAAATATATTATTTTTTAATCTTGTCGAAATTTTAGGCGTTTTTCTCAATATTTTTTTTCTCTCTTTTAAACCGTATTATATTGTTCGTTTAATGTTTCTATTGTGTGTCATGCTTAAAACGAAAACCCTGTTGTTATTGTTTTAAATTGTACAACGAGAAGTGTCTACGAATTTTCTACTCATCATCGTTTGCTATTTGCACTTGGTTTGCTTTGTGCATGCAATACTTATACTCACTTTCGAAAAATACAACACCGTCAACACATACACCATGTTAAACATAAGGATTTTGCTGTATCGCGATTCAAAATCTTTTAAAATCAACGGGAAAAACAAACGACGTCTTTTCGTAATTAACGATAATTTCTTGCAGATATTTCACATAAATTACTCGCCTCGTTCAACGGGGCGAAAGCGAAAGTAAAACATTTATAAAATTTTTTTTCGTAGTACTATCTACAAAAGCCATGCTCACAGCATGCAAAACCAATGAGATGAGTAGGAAAGAGATGCAAATATCACGGCGAATGGATTTTGAGCACCATTAAATCGGCGTTTTCTGTTCAAAACTCTTCTAGTATGTGTGTGTGTGTGTCTGTGCCTGTGTCAATGTATATTATTATTGGTTGAATTGTATATGTAACAGAAGCATAATGAATAAATCGTCATGCTTTGATGTTCGTAAAAGTTTAGCTCATGAGAATTACGCCAATTATTTTTGAATTTGATTTGGTGTATTCGACCAACAAAAAGGTGCACAAAATTAACCATATTGCTATTGCGTTCAAATTGGCAACTTTACAATAACTAATTTCGAAGATTTTGTCTAACAATGAACTGAACTAAAAGACTGCTCTACGAACGCCTTGGATCAACTAAATTATGTTTAGATTTTCTCACTCACGGAAACGATTAGTTTTTTTTCTCCTCTTGATTCAATGACATTCGACGTGATGTTCGTGGGCATTACAATTTCGATGGTTTTTCGTGATGTGGTGCATGGATTTTGAACAGTTCGACAGAAGCAAAATAAAATGGAAGATAGATGACAAGAAAAGAGCGGTGCGTCGTGATTATGAATAGGAAATTCATGCACTTATTATTCGGCGAATGCGGCCATTTTGTTTTGCCTCCTCTCACAATATCAAATTGTGTATTGAAGTGTGTCGTTGAGTTTCATACAAAAAGCCACGCGACAACAACAAAAATGAAACATGACAACGGGCCATTTTATCGTTACGCATCGAAATTTAAGTAAGGTTTTCAACTCCTTACATGGCATTTACTTTACTCTACATCGTTTGACTTACTGTGTATTTTAGCATTTAGTATACACACATGATACTAATGGCGTGGTCGCGTAGATAGCATAGCGAGTCATACAGGCGTTAACCAATACATCAATGAAACACGCATCACAAACACAGCTGATTCTTATACTAAAAAGTTTTATGCTCGTTGATCGAACTTCTTTACCTTATCGAGTATATAACTCAACGCATACACAGATTTCAAGTAGAAAAAAAAAAGAATATTCGTCATTGAATGTTAGTGAATGTGCGTATATTTTGTAATGCGTTACTATTGTAAATTAAGAGGCATTGAGACTAAAAATGAAAATAAATTATTTGCTCGGTCTGAATTGATATAGTTGACAACCGTTAGTCAGGGTTAGTCTTCATAGGCTTGATATCGAATTTGCTGGGATTTGAAATCGATTTTTGTTGAATTGGTATTTGCTGATTTTCTTAAGCGTAGCGCCATAAATATGTATGAGCTTTTTGTGCTCTAATTTCGGTGCCGTGTTACAACGCCAAATGTTTGCAGAAACGATGATGCAAGCAAATTCAAATTCACAGTGTTTTTCCCATATATTTTCTACGATATCATCAAGTATTCTTCAGAAAATCGAATAGAGATATCAGTTACGACACGCGAATTCAATTCAAAAGTCTAGTATCTCTTGGCCTCTTATTCCCGTGTGATATGGATACAATAGAATATGTATTGCTTTTTCGTTAAATCGCATTGCATGCATATATGTATAATTGTATATATAGTATGTGTTTTAGTGCCTATCGGCTTTTGTGCTGGCTTCTCGCTTCATGTGTTCCATTTACCGGTTATGTATATGTATATGTATATGTATGGATGTATGTCTCGCTCCTACTTTATCTTTTAATGGCGGTGAGGCTGATGCGTTCTTCTTCTCGGTTTACATATGGCTCGATCGGGTTCTCTTCTCCTTCTCCTTCTTCATTTTCTCTCTTTCCGCTACCAAATTCAAGCAACGCAAGTGCACGCATTGAGTTCAAATGCACTCTCTCAACGCCAGTCCCAACACACAATTTACAATTTTATTACGCATTCTAAACTGCGTATTTATATAATCACAGTATGAGACTTGAATGTATTTGAAATGCATGGCGCAATAATGCCGATGAAGACGACCGGATTCGTCGACGAACCATGGATTTGTTGCAATACCTATCTATCTATGACAAAGCATCGAACCCAAAGCGTAAACATTCATTCGTTTATGTATTTATTCAGTGTAGACGATGACGACGAAAAAGAGAAAAAAATAATAATAATGAAAACATTTCCGATTCTATGCATATGTATGGGTTGTTTTTACTAACTAACCGCTGCAATGCTTTTGTTGCTACATGCATTCGTGGTCACTGTGTACGCCACTTAGAAGGTTCACGCGAGTTCATCGGCGAGTGAAAACAGAAAAGAAATTTTATGTGTGTGTGTGTGTTTTTTTGTTCATTATTTTTATTTTTGAGTCGGTCGTTAATCCTAGAGCACGATTTCTCTAAAATCGTATTTCGGATATATTCCATTCAATCAAATAATACTGCAACGCCAACACGATGAAAGCTTGAGGAGTTTTCCAAACAGCACTTTTGCATCACACACAAAAAAACAACAACGATAAATGTGAAAGTACCGACATCGCACTCACTCAATAAACAAATCTCAAGAGCCAACAAAACAATCGCACAAGAGAAAAAAAACTGTGTATTGAACGAATATTACGTCTTATCAAACCTTAGATCAGCGATTTTATGAGCTATATTCGCTATATTCAAACGCTTATCCGAGAAAAGCAGCATCGTTTCACACATATTACATTACTTGAATGGAGGAAAAATACTCCAAAACTCTCCCGCTTGTACCCAATATTTTTTACACAGTCGTGTAACTAGTGTATGCACTGGCAATCACATATTTTATTTATTTAACACGAACCCACAGAGATAAGGAGAGCAATGGTTGATAGCCAGAAGGCGAGCGAGTAAGAGAGAAAGAGCCAAAAAAAATATCATTTGCGTTGTACTGTGTATACTAAAAACCCGATATTCAAGTCGTTTGACCAATGTTGCTCATACAACAGCACACATTTCATTTATCACCAACGAAATCACAAGGAGAGAGAAATAAACAGAGAAACACTCGCACACAGACACACATACACAAGAATGGGAACACCACTGTGTACTGTGCACACTGCATACCGACCAATTTCAATAAAATGGTCGAGATGAATAAAAAAAAATACAAAAAAAACCAAAGTGATCCGTGCACCAGCAAATAACTTTTTCAACTGTCGTTTAGCTCGCTAACTGTACAACGTCACACGAAATTGTGAAAAAATCCAAAAATACAACCGAAAGACATTGCAGCACATAAATGGAACTCCCATTTATATCTTATGGACACGAATCCGTATAACTGAATAGAAAACTGAAACGTTTTTTTCGCATGATCCGATTCCATCGCCAAATTTTAACGTTGTGTGCATTTTTCCGATGCATCCAAAGTGAAATAGACTAAATTTAATGAAGCACTTTTTTGAAACATTTACAGTATATTTTTCGTCCGTTTTCAAACCATTGAATTGCCCATTTACTATTCTGGTTATTTTATATGCTGCTCGTTTTTATAATAGTTATGTTTCTCACAGCAATCATTGACGTTCACACACGCACAGCTAGAATTCTTCTCTCCCGCTCCCAACTGCCATTTGCGTTTCTCGCATCAATTTCGGCATTTATTTATTTGCTCGTTTCTCTCTCTACCCCTCTCTCTCTTTCTATCTGTTTCAATGTAGCACAGTGGAATAGGCATCTGTGCATATGGCTGCAGATGTGTAACCGCACACAGTACGTAAATTTTTCTTGTTTTTTATATCTTGAGAGGAAAAGTGAAAACACGAGCGGAGCGATTCTATCATTTTGATAAGTTTTTTACTAAAAAAAATTAATTCCGACAAAATTATCAATAATCAATATTAACGCATAATGTGCACCGAAAATATTTAAAAAATTTCTTGCTTTTGGAGGAGGCGAGATGCGATTTCTTAAATTCAACAAAAAGGCTGCATTCACATAGATATATGGTTTTCTCTTCGGATACTACCTTTTTGCCAAAAGTAATCTCAATCCACATTATACTATTACTTTTCTTCTTTAACCGCCATTATTTCCCAATTGCGTCATTTCTATGTATTTGTGTTGAAGATATACGCATTTTGTAAACGATTTTGAAAAGAATCAATGCCAGCAAGTGTGGTGATGGTGACGTTGTCAGTGATGACGATGTTTTCGACATTGATTACGATGCCATACTTTCTTTTCCCTCTCGCTTCTTCTGCTTTATTGCATAGATAAAAATGCGCATATTCGAATACACCATTTTAAATAGAATCAAATTCTTGAATTTGTTTATGCGTCTCTTTGCTATTGCGGTTTTTTTGTGTTTTCTTTTACCATCATATCAATAATAAAATATATTTTCCAAACCGTCGGTTTCGGGTTCATCTTGCAAATGCTGAAGATGTAAAACGACATCGCACGCAGTGACGTTCAAATGTTCAAACGAAGAAAAAAAAAGAAAAGGAAGTTCATATGTG